GTTCAAGGCCAGGCTGGATGAGGCTTTGAGCAACCTGGTCTAGTGGAGGGTGTCCCTGCCCATGGCAGGGGGGTTGGAACTTGGTGATCTTTAAGGTCCTTTCCAACACTAGCCATTCTATGATTCTGTGATTCTTAAAGTAGATATAGTGGGAAATCCTTTTAACATGGGCATTATTTAAAGTATAGGTCCCTAGGGTTGGCCTCTACTTTGGACTGATTCAGTGGCTTGAGGGTGATGTACGTGAGGTGTGTTGGATCTGGCGTGCATGCTCAGGGAAATCGGATGGGGCACCACGTCTGATGGACTAGCACTGGGTGAGGCTTCTAGCAAGCTTAAGATGGATCTTCCTGTTTCCATGGGGCTTTTGTAGGAGTCCCCAGGATTTGGATTGTTTGATTAGCAAAGCCCATTTAAGCAAGAGGGTTTTTAGTGTAGCCAGATTCCTGGTTCTTCGAGCACCAGACCTTCAGAATAAGATGCATTGTCCTTAAAAACAAGGACCGTGGAAAGGACTGAGATACCACAATTGCTGAGCAACTGAACATGAGTTCTCAGTATAATGTTGCAGGAGCTCCTAATCACTTCCCAGCAGGGTTTGATAATCGAACGCTGCTGCTGGGCTTGTGGTGCTGGTGCTGGCTGGCTTGTCACCACCACAGGGACACACTGTTCTCTTACTAGTAGTAACTGGGTGAAATGTAATGGCCTGTGAAATTGAGGAGACCAAAGTAGATAATCTAATGGGGTCTCTTACTAATTTAATGTGAATCATCTGTATGTATATTTTTAAACTCTTACCTATGTGTGCTTTTAATGCAGATTTAAATAGTATTTACCTTGTTTTTCAGCCTTCTGGTTTCTTTACGGAACAGCAAAACGCTCTGGGTGGGGAAGAGAGCTGATAAGCTAACTTGTGTCTAAGATTTGGGGGAGAATGTTTTAGATTTTATTTTACTGGGCTTTTGTAACTTTAGAATTGTTAATGTTGGCATCTTTCAAACAAGGCTTTGGAATTAGGACTCCAGGAACCATTTTAGCCATTTCTGAGTGGTTTGTGCGTATAAATAAATTTAATGTGAGAAATGACTTCACAAGTAAGTCTTCTGCTGCTTTTTTGCTGTCTGTTTTGAGACTGGATATTTAACAACTGTTTCATTTCCTGTACATAAGGATGAGGTGGTGTCTCTAAAAACTCAGTGATCCCATATTTTTTTACTTTGTGTATGCTGTTTTGTTTCCATTTTTAGTTCACACAAATTTCACTATTAAAATCTGTTAATTTCCTAGTTTGTCATTATTACTAAATCAGATGTGCTTGGTTTACAATTAAGAGGATAACCAGGCATCACACATTTAATTGAAAATCTGTGTAAAAGCAAACTGGTTTGATCATTGTCCCCAGCAGTGAGTGTCCTAATTTTATGAGACATCTGTTTAATTCGCATTGTATTAACAAGAAGCTGTGGGCATTTGATGTCTCATAAAATCAGGCTAAATGTTTTGTAACTGAAATTTGTGCATCTGCAGAATAGTTTCGCAAAGTGAGTAGGTTTCTGTTTGCTATCCTGCAGTCACACTGGTTGCACAAGGAAAAAAAATGTATGAAATTAAAGCACTCGTTTCATTAAAATGAGCTCTAAATATATGCAGAGGGCATTTTATGATAATGGCAGTGCTCTGGGCTGATTTGTTTTTTTAAAAAAGCTGTAGTTCTAGCCTAGAGAACCACATTTCTATATCTTGATACAGTTTGCTTGATTATGCAAACAGCGAAAGGCCTCCTTTCCTTGGGAAACAAGGCTGAAACCCAGGTATATTTGTTCATCCACCTCGTTCCCATTGTTGAGCCGACTGGCCAATTTTAACCATATGCGATGTACAGGATGTCTCATAGATGATGATATTTGCAGCTATGCTGGATCCTGCTGCTGGCTAATTCACAGAATCACAGGATCCCAGAATGTTAGAGATTGGAAGGGACCTCGAAAGATCATCTAGTCCAATCCCCTGCTAGAGCAGGAACACCTATTAGTCTTGCAGGAGCTGGGCGGAGGAGATTCCTGCAGTGAGCTCCCCCTCCTCTTGCACCTCCCGGGAGGGCGCAGAAGGCCGGGTACAGGGAGGTCCTGTGATTCAGAGAGCACAAGTGTCCTGACGGTCTGCCCCAAGTCCTCAGCACTGCTGCCCACCCTGCCGGTGCTCTGCACTGCTGCTTTGCTCTGGGGCTACCGTGGGGTTCTCTTGTGAAATTGGAGAGACTGGGGGTTAAGACACAATAATTTACAGTGATTTAATTACCAAATAACGAGTGGGATAGTTTGGGGGTGTGAAGTCTTCCAAGCTCTTATTTAAAGGAAAAAAATGGCTGTTGTTTTCCTCATAGTACGTGCTGAAGAAAATTTTCATAATTTGAAGTGAATTTTATACAGTCTTGTCTTTCTTTACCGAAAAGAATAGCATTTGATCAGCTTCTTCTCAAAATGTCGCTTGGACTGAAAAGACAGTCTTGTTTTGCAATTGAAATTTCAAGTTGTTTATTGTCAATAAAAAATATAGTGGTGTTTCTCCACAGAAGCTGAATTTGTTTCCATAGTAAGTGATCATTTTATTTTTAGAAAGCAAGCAACACCTTCTGTACTGCCATAAATTAAAATCACACTAACAGTATTTCTTAAATAATATTTCAAAAAAGTTGGTGATTATTTACCCGTGGCAGTATAAGGAAATTGGCTGATAGCTCAGTACCTGCATCTTCAGCTGTATCCAGTGAGATGTGCACAGAGTGGATTCTTCCATTATTTCAGCTGTGGCAAAATAAGACTTAAAGGATGAGAAAAGGCTTGGGAAGCCTTTGCATGTCATCATGGCTCTTCCCTTTTTAAATAAAATACCTGATATACCACCATGGCTTTCTGTTACCTTTTTACCTTTCCATATAAGCAATTGTGGGAGTCACCATAATACCTTATGGGGCTAGGTGGTCTTGTGTTGCATTTGTCTTGAGAGTTGTGGCCCACAGTGTGAATATGTTGAAGGCTTCCCAAACCCCATGGACTGCAGCTGGAATATACTGCAGCTGCTGTGCTTCATGAGCAAGAGCATCCCCATGTAGAGCATGCTTCTGCCAACTCCTGATTGGGAGTAGTTCCCACTGAGGTCTGTTGGGTTGTTGTTAATTAAGTGAAAACTTTGGATGGTGAGTGCAGGACTGATCCATAACAGTGGGTGCTCCTGGAAGGAAACATTTCTTCTCTGCTTGAAGACTTACATTACTGTAGCAGGAGGGCAATGGATGTATGCATCAGTGGAAGTTCTGTGACCTTTTTGAATATGATTTGTTACGTATTTCTGTAGTGCAGTGCAGTCATGTTTGCACATTTAGAATAAAGTTCTGTGGGTAATACATATTTTGAAAGAATTCAAAAAAGATGTGTCACAGCTGTGTTAAACCCATTGCAAAGTGTTTCTTGTGTACTTAGACCATGAAGAGATGGATTTTGACAGAGCTGTTGTATTTTTGTTCAACAGGCTGGAACATATTTGCCTCAGTCCTATTTGATTCATGAACAGATGATTGTTACTGATCGCATTGAAAATGTGGATCAGCTGGGATTCTTTATTTACCGCCTCTGCCGTGGTAAGGAAACCTATAAACTACAGCGCAAAGAAGCCATGAAAGGTAAATGTTCCTCCTGCAATCTTTTTTTTTGGCAGAAAGTTCAATGCCGCTTGAGTTGTGTTAGAAGGAATGACTCTTACTAAAGCGAGGGTTGCTTATTGCAGTAACTGGTTCTGTGGGCTTAAGTATGTCTGGTATTTTCTGTGTAGGTATGGAAAGAGGTCATTTTGTTGTGCAAATGTTCTCAAGGCTCCAGAGAGCTAGAAGCTGCTACAGTGTGTGTGTATGCATGGGTATATTTTCTGTGGTGCAGGCTTTCACTGATGTTTTTCTTTAATCTTGTTTCTTGACCCACCCCCCAAAACCCAAAAAAACTTTATGAGAAGCCATAGCCTTCTAGTCCAAGTACAGAATAGCAGGTTGATCTTGTCATTAAAGCCATCTATAAATTAGTCCACATCTTCCTATTTGCATAAGCGCGATGTGAGTAAGAGTTGTCTTCACAGTAGAGTTGTGGTGCTTGGTATTCCTTCATGGAAAACGTTTGCAAAACATCATTTGGAAGAGTCTTGACAAGCTATTAAATACTACCTTAAAATTTTCACTCAGATTTTACTCAGACTTGCTGCCTTTTTTTTTTTTTAAGCTGTATGTGATGTGCAAGTGCACACTGAAGCAGTTTAATTGCTTTAGTCATATTGTTGGACCTGACTGCTTGGGAAACAAAGAGAAGAAATACATTTTATAAAAATAATTTAAAATAATGTTTAAAAATTAAAAGGTCTTCCTGGCAAAATCCAATTAAAAATTCAGTATATTGATCCTGTGGTAATAACTGATGAGCATAGGTTGTCAGTGAGCATTAGTTTGGCTAAAATTTCATTAAATTCTGTCTTTCTCCAATTCCAAGATGATGATGTTTGAATACTACCAGTCCACTCTCTTTTGCTTATAGTGGTTTATTCCTTTGCTTTTCCTTCTCTCACATTCCCACAAGTGCTTTTACGGATGCACAGAGGAGACTGGGAACTGATCTGGGTTAAAACTAGCCAGTGGGAGGTTTTGGCAGGTTGGTTTTAACTAAACCAGTACTGTGACTTAGTTCACCACATCTTCAGGATCACTGCCTGCTGTGTTTCCTCTGAGAGAGGGATCGAAGAGGGGTAGTTCTGATTTTGGGTGACATCTTATTACAGCAGGTTTCTGTTTCTGATGTGCTTCATCCCCTCTTCTGTTTACCTTCCGTTGTTTTTTCTAATACAAACAGGAATTCAGAAGCGTGAAGCTGTCAATTGCCGAAAGATTCGACACTTTGAGAACAGGTTTGCTATGGAAACACTCATCTGTGAACAGTAATGAAGAGTATTACTGTTACAGGAGACTTAAAAACTACAGTATGACCCCACCCTTTGTATTGTGTGCAGTGATTATTTTTTAAAATCTTCTTTTATGTAAGTAGTGGACAGGGCTTTACTGCTGAACACCTTCCATACTTTTCATCTCATGATAAATGTAAAATCAATGTTTTAGTTCTTTCCTTATTTTCAGGTGTGGTGTTCTTATATTTGAATAGCAATTGTATAAAGACTTAGTTGCTAGTGCATTTCATGTGATGAATCTCGAATACTAGGAAGAAGAGAAAGTCTTTGAAATATCCATCAGTTTTTAAATAAGTAAAATTGAAAAGAATTATTAATGTACAAATGGACTGCAAGAGCTACTTCTAACTGTAATATTTACTTGCTATACAGTTTGTTACAGCATATAGACAAACCTGTATTTGACTCTCCCTAACAAAGTGCAATTTGTTTTGTTTTTAAAATATTGTCATATTTACCTTTTTAGATTGATTTCTGAGTTGATGTTTTAAAATGGCAAGTGTTTGCTGTAACAATCTTTTAGAAAATTAAGAAGTAACTTATGTTACTAACTTGTATATAATCCATGTATGTGCAATGGAAAATAAATCTTATAAACCTGTTTGTCTAAAAGTCTTGTGTCTTCTTTTGCTATTACTGGTTTTTTTTTACAGTTAAATGTAAAGTTAAAATTAATGCTTTTTACCAGCAGGGCTATTTTTAAAAGTGAGAAGATAAAATGGAATAGGTGATGTTCAAGAAATGAAATACGAACATAGAAGCACGCTTTTCTGTTCCTTTTTCATTTAAAGGCAATATTGTGCTGCTTGCTTAAATTCTGGGTTGGTATTTCCACAATACGTACAATCAGAGTGGAGATCCAAAGCTGATTTACGTGTTGTTAATGTCTGAAATCCTTGTCTTGAGTGTTTGTCAAATGATGTATGCCTGCTGTGAGTCAGGCTGACACAGGTGAGAGCCAGGAGTGTTCACTACCCA